TGAACCTTCTGAAATAGGAACCATTAATGATTCTCCATGTGAGCTTAATGCAGATCTTAACACTGTTTTATCAGATGTTAACATGAATGAGAAAGGTGAGCTTTTTTGTGATGATATGAGACCAAAGAGAGAGAATATTCACTCTTATGTGGACGCCGCATGCAGTGAGATACATACGAGTAATTCAATTGATTGGGGGGTGTCGCGGGAGAACCAAATGGTTTGTCAAGAGAACTCCACAGATCATGATTTTGATGATGAAGGTTTCGTCAGAGAAAGGGCAGTCGATCTTTTGAGTGCCGGCTTATTTTGAAGAGTTTGTGTTCATATTGCAGGATTGATGAAGTTAATAATTGGAATTGAATAAAGTATTTAATTCCTCAAAATGTTTTCGACACTGGAAAATTTCGGTGTTCTTTTACAAGGTCAGATGTTTTTTTTTATCTGCAAAACCAAGTTTTTTATCTCAGCTTAGATCCAAATTAGACCTTCAAGTTAGTCACAGGATGCATTTCTTTGGATTTCGTTGGCAGGTTTTATATCAATTAGAATCTTATGCAAACGTAATATAAATCTATTGATTGAGATTGTTGTTTAACTTTTGAAGCATTTACATACACAGCACAAAATTCTTTTATATTTACATATCTGACTTCTAAGCTTTCATATTTAAATGCATAGTATTGAAATCTTTAATGTCACATCAAAAATAGCGTTGTTATCACCTTTCGAAAGTGCAATATTCTTTTTCATGCATAGGTATTGTAGTACCAAAGTTCTATGTTCGCAAATGTGAAAGTTTGTTAATTAGGGTTTTTGTTGAACTTTTGAGACATTTACATACATAGCACACAATTCTTATGTACATACATATCTCACATAAAAGCTTTCATCTTTACATACATAGTACTCAAATCTTTAATATCACATAAAAAATAGCTTTATTACCACTTTTTAAAAGCGAAATATACCTTTTCATGTATAGATTTTGTGGTAACAAAACGCTATGTTTGTGAATATGAAAATTAAGGCGTTACATATGTAAATACATAAAAATTGTGTGCTACATACATAAACATTCTTTTCTTAATGCACACAATCACTCTGCAAGGGAAATTATTTTGCTGTTATTGTGCTTCCGTTAAAATGTTGCGAAAGGCTTCCTCTTTCCCCAGAATCTCTTTTTGGCGCATTTGTATGCATGCCATTCAATTCCTATGTATTAACATATCTAACATCGAAATTGTTTTTTTTTCAATTTTTCCCCCCCCCCCCCCCAAATCTTTCATTTCACATCAAACATACCATTTTTTTAGCATTTGAAAAGAGGAGTATAGCTTTTCATGCTTGAATAAGTTGGCATATATGTTAAAACTGAAGTTTTGCTGTTAGATATGTAAATACAATTGAAGCCCAAAATACTTGAACAGGAGGATACAGGCAGAGATAAGATACGAAACTAATTTTATTACATTCAGTTACATCTTGTTTCTTTTACATAAAGTGTTTATATAGACATCATAAGGGTACAAAGGTAATTTAATCATATAACCTTACTCTTCTACCTTTTTTGTTTTTTTTTTTTTTTTTTTTTTGAAAATGGTGGTATTTGAAAAGACCGCTTCCCATATGTGTTATGCATCACAGTAGAGATCCAGCCCGAATCAGAAGGGTCTTACTACTGACAACGCAACTGCCTACCAACTCGTCATTCAATGATGCACAACTTTACTCTTCTACTTAAAAGGACAAGAAGAGCCAAAAACTAAACAACAATGCATCGACAGAAGGTGATTAATCATTATTATCTTGAGCTTTTACACATTTACCCCACAATTATTTATGTATTTAAATATCTAACACTTTATTTTTTTCATATTTACATTTTTTTCATATTTACATGCATAAAACTCAAGAACTTTGACATAACCCTCTTCAATTTAGAAGTGAAATGCATGTTTCCATATAATGGGTTTATGACACCCAAGTGCTATAACTATAAATATTAGTAAACCTGAAATAGTGCATATGTAAATACATAAGAATTGTGTGGTTGCATGTAAAATTTCCGTATCTTCTTACCTAGATGGCCAAACCCTTCTTTAAAGTTTGCATGCAAGATTTTAATTTTCTCTATATTTAGGAAGATTTACATACATGCCCCATAAATTCTATTTATTTACATACCCAACATCTAAACTTAGATATTTGTATTAGTACTACTTTTCTTATGGCTGAAAGATGTATATTTCACTTTTTTAAAAGTGGGCGATAATGATATTTTGGATGTGATATAAGTGTAAATATCAAAATTTAGGTGTTGGATATGTAACTACTTGTTGAGAAATTAGGGCGAAGAAAAATAAGAATCGATACAAATCCAAAATAACACAAAGAGATTTACAAGGTTCGGCAAAGATACTTACATCCTCAGGAGCAGAGCGGCGACTTCTTTTCAATGTTCAGAAAATAGTACATAATACAAAATTCAGAATCTCGGAGTGTCAGAGACTCACATAGGGTTACAAATAGGACATATATATAACCCTATAGTACAATATGTAATTACTTAAATTACTCTTGTACTAAATCAACCCCAACTTACATAATGAAACTCCCGATTGGACAGATCCTTCTGCTCCACTCCGCTCGTGGGCTCCGCTCCGCTCCAGCATCTGTCACATTTATGGTATATGAGCCATACCTAAAACTACATATGAATTGTGTGGTATGATTGTGAAAGTATTCTACAATATTCATTGCATGATTATGAAATATCAATTTCTTATTTTATATATGGTTAAAAATATCATAATTATTATCGCAATACTTCATTAAATAATGATTCAATAATTTATATAGGACACCTGAGACTTCTTCAATCTGTAACTCTCAGACTAATTTCCAAGAGGGGCATTTACATACATACCCAACCATTTATATGTATTTACATATTTATCACCCAAAATTTGATATTTACACTTATGGCACCTTCGTGTCATGAACTTAAGAATGAAAATGTGTACTTAGTTTTTAAAAAGGTGATATTTGTGATAATTTTGATGTGACGTTAAAGATTTGAGCGCAATGCATGTAAATATGAATGTTTAGGTGTTAAATATGTAAGTAAATGAGAAATTATTGTATTATGATACCTTATGCAAATTTGCATCAGATGTCCAATAACAGGGGGCTACGTAGCAATTTGGGCCCACTGACATACACGGTTCGGGTCAGGGTTGCCACATGACACCCTGTCATTGGACACCTGATGCATCAGATGTCCTGATAAAATAATTTTTCGTAAGTAAATAAGAATTGTATGGTAGTATGTATCTGCATGCCCCTTTCTAAAAATAAAAGATAAAAGATGGAAGGGTGATTTTACATTCATACACCTTATTACCTTTGTATTTACATATTTAACACCTAAATTTCAGTTTGTATATATATGCATGAATATGCGTATTTAGCTTTTTAAAAAAATTAAAATAGTATCCTTTATTGGATGTGAAAGGTTAGGGTGGTATAAATGTAAAAAGTAAAATTTAGGTTTTAGATAAATGTCCCAAAATAAATGTCTATTAAACTGGATTTCTTTGTGCTATGAGATGCTTGGGCCCTAAAACTAAGTATTAAATATTATTTGCAGCACGTAATTTCCTATGTATTTACATATCTAGCACCTAAATTTCAATTTCTTACATACATTCCATTCCACATTACCTATGTTTGAAAGGCTATGTTTCAATTTTTAGATTTTAAAATGGTGGTATTTTTGTTTTTATGTGATTGATTTCGGTGGTATAAACGCAAAATGTAAAATTTAGGCATCATATAAGTCTATCCCCTTCATGGTCCCACCAGTGGCCATGAATTAAAAATTAAGGGCTAGACGTAAAGTGAAGGATGTACTTCACGAAAATATTTGCGTAAGTAGGACGTACGTCTGAAAGTTACTTAGAAGGTATATGGAGGTTATATTCGCGTTATATTCCCCTATAATCTTCCTGTAACCTACAAATAAGTTCTGTGTTTCTATAATTTCATAGGTACAAGTAAGTTACAAGGAGGTTATAGGGGGTATAACCCAGATATAACCCTCTGTACCCTCTGAATAACCTCAAACGTATGCAGCACTGCGTACGACTTACGTACGCAAATATTTTCCCTTCAACTAAACCAACAATAATTATAAGTAAGTTATATTTGCGTAATTAAGACGTACGTAGAGCTACGTACGTCTGGAGGTTACTCAGAGGGTATATGGAGGTTATATTCGCGTTATACCCTCCTGTAACCTCCTTGTAACCTACAAATAAGTTTCGCGTTTCTGTAGTTCCATAGGTACAAGTAAGTTACAAGGATGTTTCAAGGGGTTATAACCCGGATATAACCCTTTGTACCCTCTGAATAACCTCAGGCGTACGCAGCGCTGCGTACGTCTTACGTACGCAAATACTTTCCTTCAACTAAACCAACAATAATTATAAGATGACATCTTTAACCGATGAGTTTAACGTAGTTTTAGGATTGTTCCCCTTTCTATTTTTTTTTATTTTTTTACTGCCAATGTTTGATAGGTATTCGAGCGATCAACGATCGATATTCGAGCTAAATTTACAGCCCTACCAAGGAGTAAATTTTTATCTTATAAGCTTAAAAATAGTTTGTCAATCATCAAATTAAAACTGACATCAATTTTGATATACTATAATTGTTGTAAGATACATTGACGTGTAAAATACTCTGACATGTAAAAATTGATATTTACTTTCATTATATGCAAAAGTTTAGGTGTTAGATGTGTAAATAAATAAAAATAGTGTAGTATTTATATAAATGCCCCTAAATTAAATTAATAAATATTGGCGCCGGGGGGAAGCCATGACTTTCTATTTCAATATATATAATTTAATAATAGAGAGAACAATTAATTAATTATTTGCATTAATAATATCTGACCCAATTTTTCATCTAGGGGTGTAGGGTGTAGTTTTCATCTAGGGGTGTAGGCGAACCGAACACGAACGAACAGAGCTTGTGTTCGTGTTCGGTTTAGGGTTGAAATTTAGTTTGTTTGAAATAAGCTCGTGTTTGAAATTGTCACGAGATTTTCGCGAACGACGAGCCAATTTTACATATCTAAGATTAATATATATAAATAATATATTATATTAACTATATAATTTATATTATATAAATATATAATATCTATATCAGTATATTACTGATATAATATATTATTATTATTAATTTATTATATATTATAATTTATAAAATCTAATTTTTTTAAATATCATAATTTTTTTATATATTTTAAATCATTTTATGTTTCGAACAATAACGATTCGAACACGAACGAATGCATCATTGTTCATGTTTGGTTCATTTAACTAATCGAACGTTTGGTTCATTTAACTAACCGAACGAAAAATATTTGATCATGTTCGTCTCGTTTACTTCGAACGAATCAAACACAAATTCATTGACGAACCGAACGCGAACTGTTCGCGAACAACATGCTTTTTTGACAGCCCTATTTTCATCTCAAAATAATTTTAAATACTAAAAATTCTTTTTATATATATACTTTCAATCAAATTTTTAAAATTCGGCTCATTCAAATATTATTTAGTTTTTAAATTTTTTTATTTTCATTAGATGATCATAAATAAGATATTTAAATCTAAAAAAAAGAAAAAATTATCACGTCTTAATTTTTTTTTTTGTTCAAATTATTATTTGTTGAATCAATAATGATGATATTAATATATGATTATTATATTATTTATATTATATTGAAATAATTTAAGTATTTATTATTAAATTAAAATCAGACAGGACATCGAATTACGAGAAGTAAAGATTCAAGATCCAATGATTATTATATTATTTAGATTATAATTTATGTCATCTGGTTCAACCAACCTTCAGCTGAACCCAAATTGAACCATTGGATCTTGAACATTTACTTCTTTCGGTTCAACGTCAGGCCCAATTTTCACAAGCTTGAAAAAATTACTTCAATATCAAATAGTTCGTGATCATTTATAACGGGTCATTTTAGTCCAGAACTTACTCTTTAAGTCGTGGTTGAAACAGTCCAAACTGAAGATTATTAGATCTCAATTTTAAAATAAGTAGTGACTATTTTGACACGTATATAAACTTTAGGACTAAAACGACTCCATGTAAACAGTCAAGTACTATCTTGACCCTGCTAGTACGTATATCTGACTAAAATAAATCTATTTAAATAGTCAAGGACTATCTTGACATTTTACTCATAATTATATATTATTACATATTTTTTTTGTTGTGATTCAAGCATTAAATATAATACATAATTTGGTATGTTCGTAAATTTCCTAAATATATAGATATAAAATGCAAATAATGGAAAACCGAGTCAATGCCGTTGATAGTGTGAATATTCTTCCGTGCCGTATCGATAGCAATCTCTTTCCCCTATCAATTTACAATATTTTTCCAATCTTTCGGAGAATTTGCAAATGCACCCTCCCTTATTTTGCTCCTGTGCGCATTGATCGTCTATAAAGAGGGCAATATCCAGGGGAGAGATTTCTCATCGGTGCATTCATTGGTGGCTTCGGCGACAGGTGAGTAAAGAAACCCTAATCTCCGAATCTTCCAATTTTGGCGATGGTTTCAGGTTTTCTGTTTGATCGGCATTGTTCGATCGAATTGGTAATGGCCGCTGGTTTCTGAAGAGGTTTTTGGGATTGATGGGGATGGAATAAGGAGTTTTCTGTACGTATTTGTTATCGGGGAATCAAATTGTGCGATTTCGGATTTAGTGGGGTGGAGAGAAGCCTTTTTTGACGGTAAAGGTTTCATCATCTTCTTTGTGGAAGATTTTCTTATTTGCTTACCTTTCCATGATTCTTCTTTATGCTTTCGAGTTCCCAGCCGTTGATCTTGAGGGAAGTGGAGGGGATTTATGTGACTCTCGGAGTTTTTTTTTTAGGGTGATTCATGATGGTGGATTTGATGTATGAATCGAGATTTATTGGATTGGTATTATTGGTGATTTCCATTCAATCCTGTTCTCTTGGTTACATTTCAGAATTTGAACAAGTTTTAGGTTAAATATTTGCAAATAGAATTTTGATTTCTTATTCTCAGCGCTGCTAATTGTTAATTAGAATTTGTCAAATCAATCATTCATAGGATTTCCCCTTTTTACGGATCTTAAATTCTGAAATGAATACTCAAATAATTTATCATGATTTAAGAAGATTTAATTATTATAATACCATATTTTCTTTTTGTGGTCTTAATATTCTCAAGATCTGCTAAATCTCTATTTACAGAATTTTATTAAAATCCTAATTGCAGCCAAATAAATCCTGAAAATTCTATCCTTCTGTTCGCTCATGTTCATGACTCTTTTTATTATTATTATTTTTCTTATTTTCAGTCTGAAACAATGGCGAATCAGACTACAAATATTGCTCTTGGGACTGCAGTTTTTGGTATTTTGGCCTTCATTTTTGGTGTAATTGCTGAAAATAAAAAGGTTAGTGCTGATTTTGACTTTGTATGTTCGGTTGAATTGCCTATGGAACCACTGATTTATTTTCTTGAATCTCTACATTTTTCTTTTAATGAATGAAGTATATATATCCTCTTAAATCTCTAGTAAATTCAGAGTTTTTTTTCTTGTTATAGTTGTCTGTGGATTATTATGTAGCAGGTTCCTCTTTTCTTGCATGTCACATAATTCTTATGTATTTACATACATAACTCTTAAACTTTGATATTTGCCTTTATAGCAACCAAAATCTCCAACATGACATAAAAAATACCATAAATTTTACTTTTTCTATAATGAAATGCATCTTTTCATGTTGTGCTTTGATATGATCATGATACTAGAATGTTATTTAAGTAAATAGCAAGGTTTAGATGTTACATATGTAAATTCATAGGATTTGTGTGGTTGTATGTAAATGACCCTAAAAAATTAACTTCCTAATGTTTCTAATGTAAGAAATGCTTCTCCACATAAATTTTTAGAAAACAACTGAGGCATAACAATTAATCCTATCGATAAATTTATAACATTCGCAATAATATGATTGTTATATAAAAGAGCATATAAATCAGGATGCATTCGTGCAATTTAATTAAACAAATATCTGTCTCTACTCATGCAATTAGTTTAAAAGAAATAAAATGTTACCGTAGTTTAAAAGTAAGAGTACTCACCTCAAATTCGTGAAATTTGATTCTCGACGTTCACCATTAAAATTCTATCACCTACCATTTGATACCCGAAATAGAGAGCGTTTATTTTAAAGAACTATATAAGCTCATGATTTAGTTATGCTTAATTAATTACATAAGTATAATCAACTAATATTAACTAATCTATTAATCTTACTAAAATACATGATTAGTCCATAAATTCTCTTTACTCTATATATCTTTATTTAAATTATAACTTAATGGTAAATTTTTAATGTTCTTCCAATCATCACAACAGCCGGAAATTGGAACTCCAATTATGATGAAAGGCTATGTGCTGTGCAAATTTCCTAATGATCCAACAGTTGCATTAGGAGCCTTATCTATTGTGGCACTTGCAATATCTGCTGCCATTGGGCTCCTTTCTGTGTTCTTCCCTTACAAAGGAAAGTCCGTTCCGAAAAGCACTCTTTTCCACGGCATGACGATGCGCGTATTCTTCGTCGTTGCTGTGTAAGTTCTCTTCTCAAACTAACAACTGATATGTGTTGCTTTTGGAAGATTTACATGCATATCACTCAATTCTTATGTATTTATATATCTAACACCTAAGCATCAAGTTGTATAGACCACTTTGTATATGCATGAAAAAGTTGCATTCATAAAATATTTATGAATGTAAATATGAATGATTAGGGATTAGACATGCAAGTATTTATGTAAATGCCCAAAAGAATGTTTTTTGCTTTATAACTACTTTTACAAAATAGTTACAACCACCATATAGGCCATAATTACTCAAATCTATATCTTTGATTCTAATTTGAATTTTAGTTTATCCTCCTAATACATTATTAAGGTGATACGCACGCCGTAACAATGAAATACATATTTTCATGCATAGATAAAATGTTACATACATATATGAGTATGTAAAAATTAAAATTTATATTTTAGATATATAAATATTCAAGATTTGAGTGACATGCATCTATATCTTCTTTTGACTTATAGCTTATCATCCTAATACATTATTACCGTGATACGTCGCCAGCGTGGTCTCAATTTTCGCAGAGGCGATGTTGTTGTGGGCGACCATAACCGAAGGTCTTCACCGCGCCCTCAACAAACACGATGACATGGACTATACATGTCCGACTGCCAAGACCGGACTCTTCGGCGGCGCCGCCTTCCTGGCCCTCGACGCCTCTCTCTTCTGGCTCGTCTCCCAGATGCTAACGATGAACGCTCGATCCGATTACTTGGAAGAAGATGATCCAAAAGGATCTTATGGAGAGGTTCTCACTGCTGACTATGAAGCTAATTCTGCAGGTCGTCCATGATTCTGAAATCATAAATATAGTAATATTAAAACTGCTTCAGGATGCAATTAATTCTGTTGTTGTGGATATATTTGAACTCTCTTTTTTTTTCAAATTTCGTTGTGGGTGAAAGTCTTAAAACGTTTATGTTTCTGTTTTTTAAAGAATATTACGATATGAAATTTCTTAAAAGTTTGTAGCAGGTAGCGCTGTCAAAATGGCTCGTTGTTCGCGAACAGCTCGTGTTCGACTCGTTAAGAAGCTCGTCGTTAATTTCGTTCGATAAGTTAACGAGCCGAAACACGAATTAAGATGTGTTCGTTCTTGTTCGGCTCCAAATACTACTCATTAAAAAAATCTAATTGACTGCAAGGGTACAAAGATTTATAATTAATTAAAATATTAATTAAGAAAATATAATAAAAATTATTAAATTAGATTCAAATGATGTTTTGATATAAATAATAATTTTTAAATCTTACTCAAAACTCTTATTGTCTTATGGCTACATAATTAGGATTGTTAAAGGGACTCTATTCGTGAACAGCTCGTGTTCGGCTCGTTAAGCAAATGAGTCGAACACGAACACACTTTTTGAGCTCGAAATATAAACGAGCCGAACACGAGCTGAGCATGGCTCGTTTACACCCCTAGTAGCAGGTGGAATATTAAGTTGTTCGTAATTGATTTGTTTGTTTTTTGGAAAATTTACATCCATACCACACCATTCTTTTGTATTTACATGGCTAACACCCGAAATTGATATTTATATTTATAATATTTGGAGCAGAAAATTTTTGTTTGTTTGATTTTTAAAGTATATTGAAGTTTAGGAGAATTTACGTGCATTTCATGATTCCACGCAATTCTTTATGCATTTACACATTTAACACAGATAATTTTCATATTTACATTTTGGAACATCTTGATATTAGAAATTTATACATTAAAATGCGTACTTCAGTTCTAAAAGCTAGTGAAAATCATATTTTGGAGGTGATGTCAAAATTTTGAGTTATGCATATAATTATAAATGTTTAGTTAGATATGTAAATATATAAGAATTGCGTGAAATGTAAATGTTGATGATTAAAAATCTATTACAGCACTATGATCCCATCAAAGTGTTTGTAAACATGTATAGAATCTATGAATCATATTACGTGACTAATAATAGGATTGTAAGCGAGCTCGAGTTGGGTTTTGTTCGTTCGAAGTTGGCTCGTGAATAATGTGTTAGTGTTCGACTCGATTTAAATAAATATTCTTGTTCGTGTTCATCTTGTTCGTGTTCAACTCGAAATTGACTCGTTAAAATTAATTGAAAAAAAATAGATGTAGAATGTTAGATTCAAATTTCGACTAAATCTCTGCAAAAATGACATAACCACATTATCACACAATCTGTTATGATTTAAACTCATGTATATTATATTATTATATAAATAATATATAAAATATATTATTTATATAAATAATTATATGATTCTTTTATTTCGAGCTAAAATGAGATGAACATGATTGAACAAAGAGTTGTTCGTGTTTTGCTCGTTTATTATTCGAGTTTAAAAAAAATCATGTTCAACTCCTTTACTTACCGAATGAGCCGAACGTGAGTTGTTTGCAACATTAGATATTTAAATCAATAACATCAAATGCAAAAATAATTAAACCCAATTAAAACTGAATTATTTCTCCAACATAAAAAACAAAACAAAAACATTTAAAAAACTGTAACAAATTACAAATTCTTATTTATCAAAATTTAATACATTAAACAAAGAACAAATTTTGTACAACAACAAGGAATAGATTGAAGAACACAGAATCTGAAGAACTTACAAGTTTCCTACTCAGAGTTGGATTTTTCAAGAATACTCAACAGAACTGCTGAACTGATGCTAGCAGCAACAAAGCCCAGAGAAACCTCAGTTGTTATGTGATAGCCTGAGAAAAAGAGGGATTATGGGCACATATATAATAAATTAAAGTGTTTAAAAGCATAGAAATGTAATTTACAAAAATATATAAGAGGGGCTTTTACATACATACTGACACAATTCTTAACTTCTACATGGGAAATTTACATACATGCACACAATTCTTATATATTTATATATCTAATATTTAAAATTTGATATCTATACTTATATAACATTTTAGTACCAGAAACCGACGCATGAAAATGTGCATTTCACTTTCAAAGAGTTATTGATGGTGATATGTTTGATAAAATTTTAAAGATTTGAGCATTATGCATGTAAATACAAAATTTAAATGTTAGATATGTAAATACATAAAAATTGTGGGATATGTACTTAAATGGGTTGTTTGGCTGCAAGACTAATTTAGTTTAAATTTGTTAAATCTAATTTATAAAATCCGAAATTAAATTGAATCAAAGGCAAAATTTTGACCCTTAAATCCAAAATTTTGTAAATCCGCCGTAATAAATCCAATTCAAAAGTACTACCAAACACCCCCTAAATGCCCCTATTTACATTTATAATACTCAATCTTTCATATCACATCACTATCACTAAAACACGTATTTTCATGCATAAGTAAAGAGATATAATATAAATATAAAATTTTTGATGTTTAGATATGTAAATACCTAGGAATTGTGTGAAGTGTATGTAAATCTTCTTATATAAGAATAAAATGATGTCAAAGCTAATTTGATACCCACCAAAGAAATCAAAAATCATCTTTGCTCCTATGAACCCCAACACGACCCCTATGGCCGGCTGCAAAGATTAAAAAAAAAAAACCTTTTTAGGTGTTAGATATGTAAATACATAGGAATTGAGTGGTAAGTATGTAAATCCTCCCAAAAAATGAAAAAAAGGGTAATGTTTCACCTGCAAATATTTCAGCTCCGACATGCTCACGGAAATAAGAGCATAAATTGATCGCAAACCTGCATAAAGTTTAGCATATAACAACGGAGAAACTTGATTCAAATATAGAGAGAACGTAAACATTGACTTTCACCAACATACAGTCAGCACTGGCTTGATAGGTTTGACAATTAAGCACTGGAGATAGTCAAATTTTATATGGTGTCTGCTGAATTGGAGATTTCAGATTAATTGAGAATATATTTAAAGTAAAATTAATGTTTGTTGAGCCCATATTTGTACTCGAATCACACCCAAGGAATAGAGGATAAGCAAAGAGAGAGAAAAAGAGACGAAACTGAGGAGAGAAATATCTAGACGAGGATGATGATAGGAAGAACTCTCTTTAACAAAGAGATTTAGGGTCAAGAAAATGAACCCTAATTGGTGATCCAAAAAAGACCCTGTTTTACATTTAATGCTCTTTATTTATAATGATTGACCCTTATAAAATGACATATTTAGACCTATCTTTTCATAGGACCCAAGGAATAGAGGATAAGCAAAGAGAGAGAAAAAGAGACGAAACTGAGGAGAGAAAGTTCTAGACGAGGATGATGATAGGAAGAACTCTCTTTAACAAAGAGATTTAGGGTCAAGAAAATGAACCCTAATTGGTGATCCAAAAAAGACACTGTTTTACATTTAATGCTCTCTATTTATAATGATTGACCCTTATAAAATGACATATTTAGACCTATCTTTTCTTAGGACGCTAAGAGTGTACATCTTGACTTTAATAATCATTCTTCTATCAAAATTTGTGGTCTTGGAGAAGTCAACTTTCTGCTAAGATTTCAAATGCATGAAGGCCCGGGTTCTCAATCTTCACTCATTCCGCTTCGGGCAATCGACTTCTAACGCTCGGCCTATGGCACTTGGCCTCTAGCTCTCTGCTCGACTTCCATGATGTTTAGTGATGTGTTCGGCATCCGAAGTCCTGAGTCGACGTCACTTTTCTTTAGTTCAACCTGTCTAAAGCAGCTCCCGCTGATGAATCAATCCAGAGCTATCCGATTTGTGATGATATGACAAGAAGTGCATGTCAATTTGATCCCTAAAAATTAATTCAATTTGCTCATTAACTTAATTGTTTTTAATTTCTCATGGAATTTTAGTATATTTTCGATCATTTTATTAACAATTTGTCTTCAACTCCTATAATATAAGCTTTAATTTGAAGAATGTAACTTGTTGAGTTAATTAATGATATATGATTTGTAAATCATCAATTTTCCTTTCCATGGAAGCATACCCTAAGTCATCCTACATCAATTTGACATCAGAGTCTTAGGTTATCTCAACATATCACATACAAACATGATGATGTTATCAAGATAAAGTAACATATTATTAAGTAATAAAATTCCAGTCGATTAACAACAATAATTAAATGAATTTCTACATAAGCAAAATCAAATCTCTTATAACATTAATGTGGTTAAAATAAGGTTGATAATTTGGAAGTCAATCAACTTCATGCATGTGAATCATGATATTGCGTCCCGGAATCGGAAGTTCTAAGTTAGGGTATACCAAAGTAATCTGATTAAATCATCATCAAAATTGCATCAATTTTGAGGCATAATTAATAAATAAATGCCTAATCAACAATAAAAAATTAATAACATAATGACCCAAGTTGCCTTGCCTATAAGATGAGATTATAAAGCCGACATATGAGCTTCTTCAAAATTAAAGCAAAAAGGGAAATTTACATACGTAGCAGAAAATTCATATGTATTTATATATCTCACACCAAAACTTTCATATTTATTTACATAGCACTATGCTACTTTAAACCCAGGCAAGAAAAGGTGCATTTCACCTTTAAAAGGTAACAATGGTGCTATTTTTTGGGTGATATTGAGGATTTGAGTGCTATATGTGTAAATATGAAAGTTTAAGAGTGAGATACGTAAAAACATAAAAATTACATGCTATGTATGTAAAAGCCTCGAGCAAAAAAACCATAAGTAGGCCTCCCAAAAATCCAAAGTTTATAAGTCCTGTCATTGTCACAAAACTATGCCAAATCTCCATAAATACTACATAAACATCAACATCAACAAATGAATACACATAAAGAAATCACAAAGTCAATTTGAGCTCGATCAAATACATAAATCTCAAGCTTTTTGGGACTTTCTACAAAACACAAAGATGTAAGTCTTGTCTTTCATCAAATTCAGGACCGAGTTCTAATCAAATGCACATACCTCGTGTCCAAACTATATTCACATTTTATTCAAACTTCGAGCTCGGTCAAATTCCTACAAGTCCATTAGTCAACAATCTCCCTTTAGGTCCTTCTCTTTCCCAAAATAGAAACCTACTTACTCTCATAAACCAAATAATCAAGGGCCAATTACATATAGACCATCCGAAACTTGCCGTTCACAAATCACTTTCCCTCATTTTTTCATTTTCTCACTCAAATATAAAAATTCATGGTAATATCCCAACCCATATTTTTCATTTTGTCAAATTCTCAATAGTCTGATCATGGCACGTAAATGCATCAGTTTAGTAATTCCAAAAGATCACTTGAGTGATTAATTTGTAAATTTTAATGCAAGAATCAATAAATAAAGTCAATCAAACTACCTAACCTTTAAGTGTGACATAATCTTCAAGTCAACTTTGTTCAACCCTAAAACTCACGCCAATTTAGGGTTTCTCTAAGGCACCTCATGGATACATCAAAATGACTTCTACCACATAACTACTATATAGTAAAAAATATTATCTAACTTTTAGGAAAATAAATACAAATTACTGAAATCAAGATTTCTAGTTCATGCATGTTTCTTAAAAGATTTTCAATCCCAACCACCTGAAGAAACACACTAATAATAGTAAATTTTGTTTCCATAACTTCCACAGGAATGTAAGGGAGCATTATAAATGAAATAATGCATGGGTCAACATATAATCTCTTTTGAATAAAGGATCTAAAAGCAGCTTAACAGAGAAATGCCTCATCATTAAATATTTTCCACGATATGAGTTGAAGAGCCATTCTTCCCCAATCCACATAAACAAAATTACCTGAAATAGCAAACAGATTTGAAGAAAAGACTATGAATGGATCCCTTGTAACCCCAAAAACTGCTGGAATTGAATCAACCTGAAAAGAAAAAAGATAAAATTTATCCAAATCCACTTCATTTATCATAAGAAACCAGCATGATATAAGGAAAAATGATCTCAATAACGTACAGCAAAGGCAATATCACTAAGCTCAATGACAGCAACAGTGAGAAGTAGCGGTGTAGCCTGTAAAATAGGAATAGAGCAGATTAATAAATGAGAGCAATCTGCTACAAAGGAGCCAAGCTAATAGGTCTTGTAACTCGAATTGAACACAATGGCAGAAAAATAATATTTTAGAGGATGATTTACATACATACCACTCAATTCTTATGTATTTACATTTTTACTTGCATGCCACATTACCTATGCATAAGAAGATGTATTTCACATTTTTAAAGTTAACATGGTGCTATTTTTTATGTGATTTGAAATATTTGGGTAGTATAAATGTAAAAACTGAAGTATAGGTGTTAGATATGTAAATATATGAGCATTGGGAGGTATGTATGTAAATGCCCCTACTTAAAAATTAGAATCCAAACTCAAACGCATAAGCTTAGGACTTACTTTCCAAACACCATCTTCAATGGTTAAGAACCGATCACCATCATAATGACCTAAAAGAAGAATAAATTTGAAGTTAGGAGTTTAAAAGTCATAAAGTTCATAAAAGTTATTACCTCATTATTCCTGCTTCTAGGAACATAAAATGGGACTATAATGCACACACAAAACTAATCAAGCTGCAAGTAAAAAAATTGTGAATATTTTCTCGTTAACTGATATAAAAGCCAAGACTATGATAATATCAGTTGAGATGTGCCAAAATATAACAAAAACAATTAAGTATTAGAGGAATCAAGCAAAAATACTTGATTTATGCTATTAAGAAATGATAGTTTTGAAAAGTTGGACATTTTTTAAGTAACAAATTATAATAACACACGTAATGTTTAGAAGATAATATATGAATGACGGCTTTAATAAGGATGTGTGATGAAATTAGAACCGATATAAAGAAAAATGGTTATATCAGGGATATTATGGAAACTATACTTAGTGAAGATAACATGATTAAAGAGTGAAGAGACTAAATAGTCCCTTGATTATTTGCATGGGCCGTTTTAGTCCTAGAATTTAAAAAGTGCCAAATTGGTCCCCATATTCTTTAAATTGGGGATGAAATAGTCCTTTGTGGGAACTATTTAAGCACATAATAAAAGAGTCTATGGATTGATATTTTGATAAACTCTGTGACTAAAATAACCGCCTACAAAGAGTCATGGGACTATATTGACACTGTTCACCAGGATTAAAAATGGTCTTTGGAGAGTTTCATGCATGTACAGTAGAGGGAAACATATGTACTAATAGGACTGTTCAAGAGAATAAATCTAAAAGGAATTTGACTGTGAGCGAGAGACTTTAAGTAGCATGCATTAAAGTTGTGCAAGGAAGATTTTCGTAACTAGAGTCACATAGCAATTGCAAGAAATAAGAAAAAAATCGACTGATAAAGCTGGATACAAAAAGTTTAGATAAGACTAAAGAAGATGCATAAAAAAAAATTTAATGTTGAAACATAGAGTCGTAAAATAATTTATTATGGTTGCAGTTAAGTACCCGTAACAGGGATAAACCTCTGGCATGTTCTAACAATGAAGTTATCAGCAAGGTCAGTATCTTCCTCTTTAGCAGAAAACAACTGTTTGAATAAAGAAAATGAAAAAAAATATACTCTAAAATCTCCAAACCTTAATCTGTACACTGTAAATTGCGATGGCAATATAGATAAAAATTAATGCTTTCAATTATATATTAGAAAATAAACATGATAAAAAATTAGGAACCCCATAAAGCTAAAAATTAGTAAAGCAGTGATACATAAAGCTAAAAATTAGTAAATTTAATCTGTCTAAGTGGTAGTTGCCCATCCAATTCAAGTGGTTTCCTATGGCATTGGAGTCTTTGACTACGGTGAAACATACTTCATCACAGAAAACAAAAATTAAGCTAATTTTAATGAAGATATGGTGGAAAACTGGATTCACAATCCCATATATAGCTTAAAGCATGAATTACTATATAATATGTAGCCTTTTAGATTAATCATAGCAATACCAACAATATGATATGAAACAATTAGGGGTATTTGGGTTCACTTCGAACTTATTTTTAATGTTTCTAATTGAAACAAAACATGGTGGGTACATTATAGCATGTTTAGTTATTTTTTAAAATACTTAAAGCATTGCTTTAAATATTTTCAGTGTTTTTTTAAAATAAACTCATTTATATTTTAAAATAAAAAATAAAAACATGTAAAAAATGCACTAACCAAACATGTTTTTAAAATCAAGAAAAAAATGATCCCAAACAAGCCCTTAATTTACAAGTATCAAATGGAATTTCATTAATATGGCTTCCATGCTGCATACATTTCAATTATATTCATAAACCTTAACCAGTAAAATTACCTTATATGATGAGAACAGAAGAATCAAGGCCAGCAGTAAATTTACCGCCTCAAATCTCTACAGTATAATGTCCATTAGTATGATAACAAGATCAAAAGCAATAGTGTGAAATTAGTGATGAATCCACAAAAAGAAATATAATTTCATTATGAAATAGGAACCTGAATAGAGGCAGTTCCTAACAAGATAATTATAGCACGAAATAATATTGCACCAACAATACCATATGAAAGCACCCGACCCTGGATTCAAGCGGACAATAGAAATTTATGAGCTATTTGCACTGGGTGTAATTGAGCCAAGCTGACTCATGAGCCTGCTCGGACTCTGCTTAATAAGTAGCTCGTGAATTGAGCACGATGAGCTAACAAGTCAAGCTCAAGTCAATCCAGCTTGACTCTAATAAGTAGCTCGTGAATTGAGCACTATGAGTTAACAAGTCAAGCTCAAGTCAATCCAACTTGACTAGTTAGCTCGTAAGCTGACTCGTTTAAAAAATATTTAATATAAAATATACTCAGATTATATTAAAATTCAAGATTTTATCTTAAAAATATTAAAAATGTTCATAAACAATTATATTGTACATTTTATATCTGATTTCTTATTAATTATGTACTAAATTTTTATTATATTTGTCATTTTATTATAAAACTAGCTTGAATTAATATTATTTTCTCCCTTTAATGATGAACAAACCAGCTTGTGAGCTGTCTTGAACTAGTTGAATTAAGCTCGAGATCTAGCTCGAACTAAGTCAATCAATCAAGCTCAAATGCAAGTTGAGGATGGCTTGAGCACGACTCGACTCGTTTACACCCCTATATCAGATAACCCTACAAAAAGAAAAGAAAGGTATACATCATACCTGATACTCCATTGGTACTTTGAAGTAATTGAAAATCAAGACAAAGACAAAGAGATTGTCCACTGATAAACTTTGTTCCAATATATAACTGCTAAGGAATGAGAATGCAATTAGATCGAAGTTGCCATTACAAGAGTATTGCTATAATAAAGAAGAAGAATGAGAGCTGCAAATCTTAAATTAAAAATATGAAAGGTAAGAAAATAACGCCCAAATGGGGGAGAAGGCAGAGAGAACCGAGTTGAAATAAAATTTTACAAATCACCTTTAATACTGAAATAACATACAAAAGACAAAGAAAATTTTGAAGCGTAAAAAAATATAGAACCTATTTTAGGTTTCATTACAAATCAATATTGAAGAATTGTAAAGACAAGATAAATGAAAAAAGGCAACACAAAGTTGTTGGGTAACAAATGACATGAAAGCCTACAACATGATCCTTGGCATTTCGTAATTTTATATCCCATTTAAACACACATGCACTGCTAAAGGACAAAAGAAAAATGTGAAAATCGGTTAGGGAAAACCAAGAGAGACTAAAATCTCAAGAATAGAAGGTAATAAAACAATACCCTGCAAAAAACTCTGATGCCTTGTCAAGTCCATCCTTTAATCCTAGAACAATACCAAATATAACAGCTGCAAGAACCTGCAAAAAACAATCAATATCATCTAGAGAAAAAAAAAGGAAGTTTTACATGCATACCACCAATTCTTATATATTTACATATCTAAAATCTATACTTCAATTTTTACAAGCATACCACCTTACCTGTGCATGAAAAGGTGTATTTAACTTTTTAGAAGTTAAAATGATGGTATTTTTTAGGAGATACAAAAGATTTGTGTGGTATATATGTAAAAAACAAAATTTAGATGTTAGATATGTAAATGCATAGCAATTGAGTGCTATCTATTTAAATGTCACCCAAAAATTCTGAATTTTGACCAGACGGTGAGAAGAATAAAAAAACTAGCTCCACCATGAAAAATGGCAACTTTGATGACAACAATCAAAAAGGCACTGAAACTTACACATAATGTGACAATTCTGATGGATGCTTGTCGATTTATAGTACCATTTTGATGACCTAAAGAAGTATCTGATTCAGCATTTTTGATGTTACTGACTTCATCACATGATTGATTACCATCTAACTGCAACTCTTCTGCAGATCCATGGGACCATCAAATTATTTTCAAACAGAGTAAGCAACCTGCAGCTGTGACATGTTTTGGTGATAATTCTTAACAATAAAGATTAATAACAAGCAGACAAATTAGTGGAAAATAAAGATGTCAAAAATTGTTAACCAACTTCAAATATAGATAGATGGCATATGGTATTACAAGAAATATATACCACGTAGAGATTAAAACGCATAATAAAATATGTTTTGTCCAGAGAAGAGGTATAATAATGTCAGCATAGAACTGATGTGACGTGTTGATGATCCAAAATTTCTTTCAAATCTTATAATTTAGGATTCTTAGGCTTATCACTTCTTTTCTCAAATTAAACATATCTATAAATATAAATTCATAGCTTCTCAACGTGCTCTCCATAAAAGTATGTCCCATGGGTATAAATTTCTGACCAATATAATGACTAGGGCAAGCACGCTGAATGATTTAACTCGAGTATAGCAACTTCAAGGAATTACTTCCTAAGAAAATGAAATTGCTTTCTTATGTGATGAATTATTTATGGCTAATTGATCCCGATATTTTTTATATGTAAGAATTTATAAAATTGACACCACTACTTAAAGATTTTAATCCCCGACAATGACGTCAAAAACTTGATCCCAAGAAAAGTAAGATTTCAATTATATTTTTAAGTGGTAGCGATTCTATGCAAGTATACATATCGTTATCAAGTAATATAGGGTTTTCTGATTAAACCCCGAATATCGATCTTACGGATATCGAGGTTAATCACGACAGCTTTCAAGAGAAGTTCTAGTCTAGAATAACACGCCCAAGCTTGAAAGGTCGAAAAGATTTAGTTTTGATTTTATCCTACAATTATCACTACAATAGTACTTCTACTCCTAAATTAAAATACTTAGTGAAGCAAAGTAAGATTTCAATTATATTTTTAAGTTGTAGGGATTCTATATAAGTATACATATCGTTATTAAGTAATATAGGACTGTCTGATTAAGCCCCGAATATCGATCCCACGGAGATCGAGGTTAATCACGACGGCTTTCAAGAGATGTTCTAGTCTAAAATAACACGTCCTAGCTTGGAAGGTCGATAAAAGTTTGGGTTTAATTTTATCCTACAATTATCACTACAATAGTACTTTAAAATACTTAGTAAAAATCAGAAAGTGAGGTTTAATATATTATTTAATATATTAAAAGTACTCTCTACTCTCCCTCATGCAATGAAATTAGTAACATGTGTAAAAGTAAAATAAGTAGAGATTGTGACAAATATGAATATGAACAATTATATTCTTTACTCTTACTAGAGATGCTATAAAGAACATTGGTTAATCTAAAGTTTGAATAGTTCTGAAGACGGGCTAGGCAAGAAAGATATTAGCTATCACTTTAGAGTTTTTTTTATCCTTCCACCTGGAGGTTAACATCTAGCATCAAAACCTAAAACAATAGACCAAATTATGAGGCTTTACTCTGTCACTCTAAAGTTCTCTAATTTTATACTCATTAAATATTATTTCCCTATTTATTTGCACTCAATCATATGGACTACATTCTCATCCATACAATCTCATGTGATTCTACCACAGTTGATTGAGACAACACCATCACAGATCTTACATGTTCTCACAACAGATTTTAAAGGAAAGTTGATCAAGTTTACATGTAAATGAAGAAAAAAGTAAAATCATCACAATATATTCTCACTCTACTCAATTCTATATCTCACATATGCATACTAATTCATTGTAAGAGGGAAGAGTAAAGAAATCTACTCACTACACATGAAGAACCAACAAAAATTTTTCATTGAACAAGACTTTGAAACCGAACAACATTGAACAAGACTTTGAAACCATACAAACAAAATACTAAATTCAAATCAAAATACAATGAAAATCAAACTCTTCTCGTATAAAAAACGCAATCTCCTTACAATCCTCTCCAAGAACAAAGTGAAAAGAAAAGAAGAAATTCTCACTCTCTCTCTCTTTCTCTCTCACCTTGTCGCCCCACTTGGGGCTCACGCCCAAGTCTTATTCTCCTCTTCCAATTAGTTCAAGAGTCCAAGAGTCCTTTGAAAAATATTTTATTTATCAAGAGATTCTTCCAAATAGTGTCGCAAGTGTCTCTTCAAAAATATTCGTATTCATTGAATCTTCCAAATGGTGTCTCAAGTGTCTCTTTAAAACTTCTTATATCCGCCCCAATTCCTTCTAGAAAGTCTCTTTTATCATTTTATCGTCATACTCATTTGGCATGGTTGCGATACTTTGAAATTAAATTTGAATGATATGATCTTCATCTTTCATATTCTAGAAGATATGTTGAAAATCGTTTTTGATGCTTAAGCTCAGATTTTGGGCGCTTAAGCGCCCTCCTCTCTGGTGGCGCCTAAGCGCCATTTTGGGCTCTTAAGCGTCCATGGCTCCGGTGTGCCCCGGTTCGACCCGATTTGTTTCGGTTTGCTTCGTTTTGATTCATTTTTGTTTATTTTGCTTCAATCACTCGAAATTCTTCAATTTGATGTACCTTTAAAGTGCAATATCATTATAAAATATAACATAAAAAATAGTACATTTTTAGGCACATCACTAATCACTAAACTAAATGTCCAACTTTGAATAGAACTTCAAGAAAAAATCCTAAAACAGAGTTAATTAATAAGAAAAGTTTACTTCCTTTATACACAAAAGAAGAATAAAATAAATTGTGACAGCCCGAACTCTCACCCATAAATGTGTTGTCCACGTTGGCCAAGTGGTCTCGCGGTTTTGTCTTGTTGGTGTAACTTCTCAGAAGGTCACCTATCTCAGGAGTGCTACATGACAAACAAACTTAACTTTAAAGTTTCTAATGAAATTTCACTGTTACACCAAAAGGCGCCTCAATGTTTAAGAGTTCAGACTTCAATCTATTTAAGAGTTTCACAATCTCCTCCACTTAATTAATTGACGTCTTCGTCAGTTTTCTTACCCTATAATCATCCACCACACAGATATAACTCTAAAGGTGAACCTTACAGAGTCAAGATATGGCTCCCACTATGTAGCACTTTGTCCTATCCAGAATTTAAGCAGCGGCTCCCATGGCACAGCACTTTGGTTTGTATGACACTTAGTTTTCAGCTGATGTAATGCTGTGATACCATTTGTGATAGCCCGAACTCTCACACATTAGCGCATCGTCCGCTTTGGCCAAATGGGCTCAAAGTTTTGTCCTGTCGATGTAACTTCCCGGGGGATCACCCATAACAAGAGTGCTCCATGACAAGCGCTCGACTTTGAAGTTTCTAATGAAATTTCATTATTAAACCAAAAGGCGCCTCAATCTTTAAGAGTTGTGCTTCAATCTACTTAAAGGGTTTCACATAAACAAATACAAATAATTACCCTATAACGCATCGCAAATTAACTTAAGAAAAGACCAAAAGCAACCATCCATGAAATGCAAAAACAATAAATTATGGTAAAATTTTTTAGAATATTTTTTTTAATCTAAAATTGGCATAAGGGAGATGAAGATAATAATTATGAACTAGCAAATCAATATATATTTTCTCCTCCCTTTTCTCAATTAGGTCACAATACCAAACTTTCCTCATTGCATATATATTTTCTCCTCCCTTTCCTGCAAGAACAAGTTGTAAGTTTAGTGCTCCCTAAAGTGCTTGTACATAGCAAACTAGGTTCTAAAGCAATTGCTATTTTGAATTTCTATATTCATATTGTCCTATCAACATAATCCATTTTCATAAATCCTCAAACTCCACACAATCCGTATTAAGAGCTGCAAGAGATTCTAAACCCATTCTACATAATTATTTAGGATAAGTTATATCCTTGTTGCCCTACAACTCTTATTTCCAAATTATTTTATATTAAAATTATATACCCGTTTTATATGTGCATTTTCTTCTGTTCACACATCTAAACCACATAAGTTCAGCTCCACTATCTTTACCTTCAATCTATGATGTATCCACAGTCCCTTAACATAATCATTACACAATCTATCCTTCCTAGATTCTCCATTTTTTTTTCATTCATACACCACGTTCTAAAGTGTTGAGAAATTAGGGCGAAAAAAAATAGGAATCGACACAAATCCAGAAGAAGTCACAGATATTATGGGGTTCGGCAAAGGTGTCTACATCATCGAGAGCAGAGCGGCGACTTCCTTTTCAATATTCAGAAAAGAGTACAAAATATAAGATTCAGCTCACCTAGGATAACAGACATGACATATATATAACTCTATAGTACAATATGTAATTACTTAAATTTCCTCTGTACCAAACCGCGGGGTGTTGCCCTCACACCCCCAACCCACATAATGAAACTCCCCCGATTGGACAGATTCTTCTGCTTTACTCCGCTCGTGGGCTCTGCTCCGCTTCAGCATTCGTCCCATTTATGGTATATGAGTCATACCTAGCAAATCTCCACCTTGGCGAATATTCAGCTCCTTATGAGAAATACATATGTCTAAAAAATCTCCACCTTAGCAAATATTCAGCCCCTTAGGAGAAAATACATCATAGAGTTTTTTATGCACCAGTGTAAGTTGGGCCACCACGCTTACGTTGCGCCCTCGCTCTCCCCAACCCACTAAATTTCAAGAGACACTCCTCTTCAATTTTAAAAGATATCTCTTTATTCCAAGAGATTTCAAATTCTGATATTATGAACCTTACTTAACAAATCTCCAGCTTGGCGAATATCCAACCCCTAAGAGAAATAAATCATTGAATTTCTTATGCACAAATGTGGGTTGAGCCACAATTTTAAATAATCTCTTAATTAAGATTTCTTAATTAAGTTTCATTTAATTAAATTTCAAAGAAAAATGACTTTTCTTTGATTAAATTTTCCTTAATTAAACTTTCCCATAAATCTTTTTCCTTAACTTTCAAGAAAAGCTCTCGTTTCCTTTCAGAAAAGTTTCATCTCTGCTTTCCAGAAAAACTCATTTTTCCTTCTAGAAAAACTCTGTTTTCCTCCTTAAAAAAGCTTCGTCTCTGCTTTCTTTCCAGAAAAGCTTCGTCTCCACTTTCCAAATTTCTCCGCAGCAGCAAAAGGAAATCGCGGAAATCGTGTAATTCTTCCGCTTCAGGAAACCAATATTCCGCCTTCAAGAACCAACAAGGAAACAAATGGAAATCTCTCACCAAAGAAACGCACCGAACCTTCCTTTCACGAAAAGAATGCGAAGCCCCTGAAAAGGAATTCCCTCTACGCCTCTAGCAATTCGGGAATTCGACCGCAATTTCTCCTCTAGCAAAGGTAATTAAGAAATTACTTCCCGCAACCGCCCGTCGAATCCTCTCAAACAAACCTTCGTTCACAACCCCGCGCCTGCTTCGTGTGGACGCCTTTCTTCGAACTCTGCGTCGCGACCAAATGTCGCAAACCTTCGTGAACCCTCAATTCCTGCTGTTCCTGCGCCGAAGCCCTGATCTAGCGCAAATCGTCGAACTTTTATCTGTCGCGAAGCTTGCCTCGGCTGAATTCACGGAAGCACCTTTCTGCGTCGAATCTGACGCCCTAGCCGCCAATCTTCTCTGCCGAAATCTTCTTTATTTCTGAGTCGCCAAAATTTTTTTCCCTGCCCTATAACCTCACTCTGATACCGCTTGTTGAGAAATTAGGGCGAAGAAAAATAAGAATCGACACAAAGCCTAAAGAACACAGAGATTTACGAGGTTCGGCAAAGATGTATATATCATCGGGAGCAAAACGACGACTTTCTTTTCAATTTTCAAAAAAAAAATACAGAATACAAGATTCAGCTCACCTAGGGTTACAAAAAGAACCTTATAGTACAATATGTAATTACTTAAATTACCCATGTACCAAACCGCGGAGCGTTAGCCGCGCACCCCCAACCCACATAATGAAACTCCCCCGATTGGACAGATACTTCCGCTCCACTCCGCTCGTGGGCTCTGCTCCGCTCCAGCATCTGTCTCATTTATGATATATGAGTCATACCTAACAAAAAGTGAACTTCAGTTCAGTCTCTCCCATGGTAAATTTTGACGATTAAGAAGCCTCTATTCTCCAAGTAAACATCACGTAATGGTTTCAATCTTTTGGTAAGACCCATAAATTGCAAAAAGTCAAAACTTATAGCTCATGCAAATTACCACAATCATAACGAAAACTCAAACAAAAAAGCTAAAATAATCAAGAAATTCATGACATGAAACACTCATACGGAACAAAATACATCAGAAGGAACCACTATAATACTAAAATTAACTCTAATGGCTTCATAATTAACCTAACCTGCGAGTTTGATGTCCTTCTCACCAGCCTTCTTGAAGCATTGTATCCGATGAGACCGAATGCAGTGACAACGACTTCCAACTGAAATGATCCAAAGAGAATAGAATAAATTCCACATTTGATGGATTTTGTACGATGTTAGGGCATCAAAGAAACTCGAAGCGAGCATACCATCCGAGGTGAAAGAGAAAGCAGCATGGCGGATAGAAGAAGAAGCGAAATGAATTGGAGACGGCCAAGATGTTCGAACCCTAGAAATTCCCGAGCCGTATCTCAGAGAAATTTGAACATTCGAGCGGTGGATCAAAGAGGCGGAAGCCATTTCTGGAAAAGGTGAAATGGAGGAGAGTGAGAGAGACGGCAAAGGGAGATTGTGGAGTGATATTATTATCCAGAGAATTATTAGCTTTATTTTTATAATAATTATTTGGCCTTTTATTCTTTTTTAAATTATTAAATATTTTTATGTGAATAATTTTAAGTAGGCAGCTGAATGACAGTGGTTCGGCGGTGCTGAAGGCCGGTGAAGGTGGTTCAACAATAGTCGAGCTCAACAATGGCTCTTCGGCCGTGGTGGAGCTCTGGAGTGCAATTCTAAAGAGCTTGGATCTTCTCGTGAGCTTTCTTTCTAAATATTACATAAATTTGAATCACTCCATCGAATAACCTAGAGCGATATTTTAATAAGATAGTGTTTTATGAGCATTTATGTGTCTTGTTGATACCAAAATTGTGATCTTGGGCTCATACGCTTAATTTGACTATAAAGTTGTTAGATTTGAAAATTATGTGGTCCTCAAAAATATATTTTATCTTATATATATATAAATACTGCACATGAACAAGATGATCATTTTTTTCAGAAACAGTTGTCTCACAGTTATTTTCACACAACTGCAAAAAACAAGCAGTTAGCTTCCTCGCAGCAGCTTCCTGGGAGAAAAAAACTAAGAAGCTACAGTTGTGCCTAATAGAGCCTTAGAAGCCCCCAACTATGTTTTCAATACATGAGCTAGACCCACTTGGATGAAAAAAATTACATCAAAAATTCTGATGCAAAATTGTATGATATGAATCATGCAGTCCTACATATTCTCAAATATTTAAAGATTTACAAATATGCTGCACAATTTTTATGTATTTCTCATCTGTAAGCTCTAATTTATACATTTTGGCACTTTATCTTCGCCCTCAAATGAATATGTACATTTTATTTTAATTTTTTAATTAGCAATTTTGATACTTTGACGTGATATGTAAAATTCAAGTGCTGTACATATAAACATAAAAGCATAGGTGTTAGATGTATAAATAAATAAAACTGCATGGTATGGATGTAAATATCCCAAAGTTTAATTCCATATCGTTACAAAATTAAATTATTTTATTGCAACCATGCCTCCATGCTTGAAAGTGACCTCAAAATTATTGCCGCTCGCCGCTTTGCAGGGCGAATTTTTCCTCACGGCAGTAATATTTCTATATATATATCATTGCACTTAAGAATTAAAAAATTCTCCATGTAAATATGCATTTTCTTGAGAACAAGGGGTGTAAACGAGTCAAAGGCTCGCTCGTGTTCGGCTCCGTTTATATTTTGATCAAAAAAGGTGTGTTCGTGTTCGGCTCATTTGCTTAGCGAGCCGAAAAGGAGCTGTTCACGAACAAAGTGTTATTTTGACAACACTAATTACGTAGCCATAAAATGTTAAGGATTGAGATAAGATTTAAAACATCATTTGAATCTAATTTAATAATTTTATTATATTTTCTTCATTAATACTTTTAATTGATTATAAATCTTTGTAGCCTTGTAGTCAATTATATTTTTAAAAAATACTACTTATCAAAGATATATATATAATTGATTGGTATTATTTCGAGCTAAAACGAGCCGAACACGAACGAACAAATATTTATTTGTGTTGTTCGTGTTCGGCTCGTTAACTTACCGAACGATTCGAGCACGAGCTTCTTAACGAGCCGAACACAAGCTGTTCGTAAACAACGAGCCGTTTTGACAGCCCTATTGAGAACTGAAGTGCTTATTCCGGAAAATTTAAATTAAATTAATATATATTAATCGGGATTTATGAATAGTCAATTCATGCAATTTTTACTTTGTAAATTTGTGATTTAATATCCATTATATGCTATAAAAATAAAGGGCATTTACATACATACCACCAAAAATTTTTTTTGTTGATTCTGATTTTATCACGCCCAAAATATAGAACGTAGGACATAAGACAGGAATAAGAGAGAGAGAGAGGGGTAAAATGCACAGAGAATGAACAATAATATGTAAGCTGATTAGCCGCTCCTGATAAAATAAGCTTTTATTTACAGACGAGGGATAACTACTTAATTGCACTTCCTTTAAATAAGGGTGTAAACAAGTTATTTGGGTTATTGTAAAAGTATAAGCCTACGATTGGGCAAGAACTGCTCGGTCGGCTATGCTGGGTCGATTTTGTTGGTTGACCCTTGATTAACTTCGGGTCGGGCGGATTTGGTTCGGTCAGCGCGGTTTGCCGACCGACTATCCCACCCCGGCTGGTGACTTCTAATCCTTAGATAAGCAGCTAAGGTTGACGGGATGAGGCTAGGTTATCAGTCAGACGGTGAATCACTGTGATATGATAGGTATAACTCATACATTGACGAGAGAGTCCTTGAGGATGTTCCCGGAATCTCGTCATTACTAATCCTTTACCCTTCTTGAAGAATCTCGTAGGACGACCATGAGTTGGTTGACGATGCTGAACTTTTCCTTTAAATTGGGTCGTGGCGAGAGGTTAGTTGATGTCTCTGCTCGATTTCATTAGCTTCGACCTTTAGAATATGTTTATTTTATATAGATCATGGAAAAATTCACAAAATATAGACATCACCAACGGAAAAAAAAATCATAAAATCTCTTTTTTGTTTTTTAAACATGACATTAGTGAAAGCCAAAACATTAGAGGAAATATGTTTTCTACAAAATCAGAGGGGCTTCTGGCAAGAAAAAAGAGCATTTTGCTGCTGCTACAAGAGCAGAGAATAATTAATGAATAAAAAGAAAACAATATCCTTACAAATCAGACCTTATTGTTTTTCAGAAACAACCCTCCTTTAAGTGAAATAACAGGGCAGTGTGAGTTGTTCCTGCTGCTC